AATTTGGGGTGGCACCTTCCAACACTGCATGTTTTAGTCTCAGCACTCAGGGCAGGAGTTGGGATGAACAACCCACAAACCACCCCAAAAAATTCCTTTTGGAGAGAATTTCCCTTATTTGGGGAAAATTATTATTTCTCTTTTTGGGGAAAATTATTATTTCCCTTATTTGAGCAGTCTGTACAAAATGAGGATGAATTTTGAATTTTCTCAGAGCTTTTCACTGAGACGATTTTTTTGATCTGTGCTTCTCACTCTGGAGCTGTCTGAACCAGAAAAGGCTTTGGAATTTGGAATTTTAACCAGTTCAAATCACTGGTGTGGGATGCAGGCCGTGGCTCATGGGTGCTGCCCCCAAGGGTGATGTGAATTTGGGGTGACACCTTCCAACACTGCATGTTTTAGTCTCAGCACTCAGGGCAGGATTTGGGATGAACAACCCACAAACCACCCCAAAAAATTCCTTTTGTAGAGGATTTCCCTTATTTGGGGAAAATTATTATTTCTCTTTTTGGGGAAAATTATTATTTCCTTTATTTGGGCAGTCTGTACAAAATGAGAATGAATTCTGAATTTTCTCTCCACAGGAGTTATCTTTGTTTTTCCATAGCACACACTCAGGTTATAGAGCACAGCTTACCATTCATGGCTTTTCTTGATTTGCAAATTAATTCCAGTTGTTTTGTCTGGGTGGTTTTTTTTAGTTTTGTTTTCATGTGGGAAATCTGTAAAACAGCGCAGCAAAAATAAAAAAGGCAAATGGATATGTGTGGGTTTTATAGAGCTCCTTTCATGGGATCATAAAATTCCCTTCAAAATGATGAGTTAGATGCTGTTAGAATAGTAAATATGTAAATTCATGAGTAATTTGCAAATGTCCTTGAGCCACTGAACCCATTGCAATTGCTCAGCTCGATGGAATTGTTCAAGTTCTTACTCCAGATGACAGAACTCACTTTCATCTTCCTGCATTTAAAGGCTTTCCCTTTCCTTTGGATACAGACAATAAACAAGCTTAAAATATTACAGGGGCAGGAGGGGCAGCCAGAGAAATAAACACCACTCGCTTCTCCTTTCCCTTCTGCATTGCCAGCATGCTCAGTTCATATTTTTAATTTTTTTTTTAAATTCCCTTGGAGCTGAGGGAAGCTCTCCACCTCATCTCTGCTTTGTGGGCACATTCAGGGTGCCAGGGGTGGGGTTAAACACAACCTGAATTCCCTAAATTTGGATTTCCAGCATCCCATCATCACAGACATACCCCAATTTTGGGTTTAATCGCACCCATTTGCCATTTTGATGTGATATTTTTAAATTTATCCTTTCAAGCCCATCTCTGGATTGCTATCCAACGGAGATTTTTAAAGTTGTTACCTGGCTTTGAGAAATCTTGATTTTTTTTTTTTCTTTTATCTGATTACACAGGGAAAAGTATTAATCAGGTTCTTGGAGACCTCTGCTGGTAATACCATCCTGCTAAGTCAGATGCTCTTATGTCAAAATAGGGCAAATGCCCATTAAAAAAATCAAAACTTTATTGTTTATTGGGATTTTCTGAATAGTATTTTAGATATAATATTATACTATTACTGATAAGATCTTATATAGATTGTATTGTATATTGTAGATATATCTGGACAAGAGGTAACTCTTAAGAAAGTCTGAGGTTTTGGGTGGTCTTCAAAACCATGTGTCAATTTTAGTAGAATTTAGTGGAATCTGGCTAAACTCAAACTCTATTGAAAAAAAAGCCAACAAACTGATAAAATTATGTAAAACACAATAAAAAATAAGATCTCACAAGTGGCTGAAAACTGCCAGTGCTGATTTTCACCAAATTCTACCAAAATGTGTCTCCAATATCTGCTTGTGGCCTTTCCAGGTTTATTCAGTGTCATTAATGCAATAATTGGGTCCAAAGATTTTTCCTTCCTGTGGCAATGCATGGAAATCTGGCCGTAATCAATACAGGACTGAGAGCCTGGACCTGCAGTAGTGCCTGTAACCATGCAGAGTTACTGAAATAACCTAAATTTCAATGCAGAACTAGTTCTAAATTACATGTTTTGAAGTCTGAATTTTAGAGCTTTGAAGCCCAGGTTATAGAGACCCTGAGGAGGGAAATGTCTCTGTTTGAAAGACCAGGTGTGTAACTGCTGCTTTGTTTGTGCAGGATGAGCAGGGTTTCTGAAGCTACTCTTTCTCTTTAAGGTTTTTTACTACAAATAAAATAAAAGTAGCTTCTGATCTTGGCCTGTGGCACCTTCAGAAAGCAGCACTGGACTCAAGGAAGAGCAGTAATCTTGAGCAGTTCTTGTCTTGCTTTTGTGGGGCTGTTTAAAAACAGAGGCCAGACAGAATTAAGAGAATAAAAAGAATTAAGGGAATAAAAAGCTGTTCTATTTATTGAAGGGCTTCAGATACATTTTGGGCAGACAAAGCCCCCCAGGGGCTACACCCAAAACTGGATGATGGGTCAGGGTTTGCACGCTTGTATAAGTTTGGTCCATTTGCATATTGGGGGTGAATCTGCCAATTCCAGCTCCAGGTAATGAAGTCATTGACCCCAAGTTTGCTCCCCCAACTCACTTCTGTTCCCATCTCTGGGCCCTGAGGCAGTGAGGTGTCCTTGATTGCCAGGCCTGCAGAGGAATTGTTGTGTCTGCCCCAAATGGGAAAGCAGCAGCTCACACTGTGTGTGGAGTTTAGAGTTCTACACAAATAAATGAAAACAGAAAAGCTGAAACCCCAACATTATCC